CATAGTAATGATAGAAAGTTAGTTGATATTAAAAAAGTTCAATTAGATAATCGCTTCATTGTACCTTATAATCTTTATATTACTATAAAGTATGATGTCTATATTAATGTAAAATTATATTCTTCTATCACAGCAGTCAAATATTTTTTTAAATATATATATAAGAGTTATGATTGAGCCACAGTTGAAATAGAAAGTTTACAACAAATAGAAAGTATACAAAATTTTAATGAAATTAGTCTTTATTTAGATGCGTACTATATATTTGCTTCTGAAGCTGCATGAAGATTATTTCACTATAAAATAAAAATAAGAAACTAGATATTATACAACTTCAAGTTCATCTTCCTGAGCAGCACATCACAATTTATCAAGATAATAATAGTATAGAAGAAATACTTTTTGAAAAGAGAATTCTGAGACAACTCTTATAGCATGGTTTAAGGCTAATAAAAAAATTTTTTGAAGGACATACTCTTATTATAAAGATTTCCCAATATGGTAGATATATAACAGAAAACATAGAGAATGAAAGTCAAGACAGAGGGTTAATACTATTGGTACATATATTTTGTACATTCTAGAGCTAGTAAATACTATCTTCACATATTATTAAAGATAATATGTAATACAACATTTTTTACTAATCTTAGAACAATTAATTCTGTTAAATATCTAATATTTAAAGATGCTTGCCCTATAAAAAATTTTTAGTCATTATATTCCAATTTTAATTAGGTATTTTAGTAATATTCCAATTATATTCTAATTAAAGATCTTAAAATATTGTATAAATTTTTGTTACAAAAAGTATTTAGAAAGTATTCCAAAAACACTTTATATTTGAATTAGAAAATTTTAATAAAAAATATATTCTGAAAAAACTAAGAGAAATATTCTGATTTTATATTTATATATAAATTAAAAATTTTAATAATAAAGTTTATTTCGGAAAAACCAAGGGAAATATTCTGATTTTATATTTATATATAAATTAAAAATTTTAATAATAAAGTTTATTTCAGAAAAACTAAGG